CCTCAGCTGCTGCTGAACCTGTGGGGCCCAGACAAGTCCATCAGTTATGGCGGCTGTGTGACCCAGTTCTACATATTTCATTTCCTGGGGGCCACGGAGTGCATACTCCTGGCTGTGATGTCCCTGGATCGTTACATTGCCATCTGCAAGCCCCTGAGGTACCCTGCTACCATGCACCAGCACCTCTGCATTCTCCTAGTGGCCATGGCATGGCTCAGTGGTTTGGCAAACTCCTTGCTGCAGTCATCCCTCACTGTCCAGCTGCCACTCTGTGGTAAAAACAAGGTGGACAACTTCCTTTGTGAGGTCCCTGTGATGATCAAGATGTCCTGTGCAGACACTACGTTCAATGTGGCTATGCTCTCCATCGTTGGGACATTCTATTCCTTGGTTCCTCTGTCACTTATCCTTGTTTCCTATGGGTTCATTTTAGCTTCTGTGCTTAGCATTCAGTCCTCAGAGGGGAAGAAGAAGGCCTTTAATACATGTGGTGCCCATGTCTTGGTTGTATCTCTCTTCTATGGGCCAGTAATTAGCATGTATGTACAGCCCTCCTCCACTAACTCCCAAGATAAGGACAAAATCATGACCCTATTCTACAGTTTGGTGACTCCCATGCTTAATCCTTTTATCTACACTTTGAGAAACTCGGACATGAAAGGAGCGATGAAGAGGCTTCTCATGGTACTACACCAGCAGAGAACAGAACAAAGGTAACTCTTTTTTTTGTTGTTGTTACTCCATGCCTTTTCCATATGTGGCTCAAAAGATCCTCAGTTCTGGAATTATCTCTTGATTTAACCTCTTCCAACATTGCCAGCCTCCTATGTACATACACATTTGTGTACCATATTGCTGCGGTTCATTGGGTGCTATTTCAAATGTGAAAGCTAATCCGTTTGTCTAGTTAGTGTGAGTGAAAGCCATGCTATCCCATTGCTTTATGTCCAAAGAGCAGGCAATAAATAAATGCTTATTGATGGATGCAGCCTTTCAGCCTAGATATAACAAATGAAACCCTATGGTATATTTGTATTGTTTGGGTAAAAATACAAGTAATTTATATTGCAGCTTATCTTCTTGCTATTATGGATATGATGTGAGAGTTAATATTTCATATCAACTTTTTAGGAATTACCATCAAGGTCATTCAGTTGGTTAACATCTCATAATCTGGAACTGATTCTCTCAACCATACAACCACTGATCTTTAAGAGTGGGAAAATTCGAAACTCTTATCTGTCTTCCTACAAGTCTCAATGGGCTTTCTTGCTTTTGTGTTGTTATCTGAAGAAACTCTTTCCGTACTTCTAAAAAGAAAGGTTTATAAATAAAATCCTGAGAATCTTTCTTTATGTCCTTGGGTTGAGAGCCACTTAATTTTCATTGAGGAGCTAATTTACACAGAAAAAGGAAATTAGATGTATTTGATAGGTTAAAAAAATCTGAAATAGTCCAGTTCCTTGGGAATTAACATCAATTGTTATCAGATGAATTAATGGAGAAAGTAGAGGAAAGAAAAAGATTGTCTATCAGACCCTCATGTTTTATAGAGGTGAAGTAGAAAGACTGATGAAGCTTCAGAAAGGGGTATTCTGCATATTTTATTAGTGATATCTAAGGCTCATTTTAAGTCAGATATGTTCACATAGTTTTCTATTTCACATTATTAATGATATCTGCATTTTTCAACTTGATGTGAAGCATATATTTTTTGGTTGTTCTAACAACTATATTTCTTTATTCACTGAGTCCAATCCATAGTTAATCATAACCAATTACTTCCCTCCTCAATCTGTGCTTTACGAATGACAATAAACCCGTCTCTATAGACGTGACGGTAAGGGTAGAATGGTTTCTGTCTTGTTGGGGACCTGTGTGTGCTGCTTCTCCGTGGTTCTGATCACGCCCGAAATGTACATTCCTTTAGAGGACTGCTCGTCTCTCCAGAGTGACCATGGGTTCTTTCATTCTTGTTTGGTTACCTGAATAGTGGAAAAAATGAGTGCTATAGAACAGATTTTATGTACTTTTAAAAATTGACAGTTGAATGATAAATATATTTTACTGTCCTCACTGCCTCCTGTAAAACCTGCATCAAGAGTTCATGCAAAAATGTGTCATATACCAAGTGATGATTCCAACAAAATAAGTTATGTGTTTAAGGCAATTATCTTCTGTAACTTTTTAATAGATCTTAAAATGATACCTAAGCAAACAAACCATATTCAAACAAAATTGAGAAAAGCCATATATCACTCATCATTCTTTGAAATAAAAATTAAACCACATTTAGTAGAAGACTTCTATTTTTTCTTGATTTTATTATTTCTGTATGAGATGAGATAAACATTATTCAGAAAATACCTCATTAGAAGATGCTGAATTCTAGAATTAGAATAAGGAAAATTGATGAGCTGAGGTGAGGAGGAAAATCTCTCATTTGTGCTGAATGAAGAAATAGTTCCTTACAAAATTTGGTGGCATTGAGAGAAATCTGTCTCTGTTCATCCCATTGTATCTCCTCAGGTATCTGAAATACCAGTGGTGTTTATTGATAACTTTAGGATCACATTTTGGCAGGAAAATGTTGGCTTTACATTTTCATTGTCACTATTCCTTACTGACTGCATTTTAATAATGGTACGAATATATAGGAGTTACCACATAGGTCATAACTTCTTGCACATTAAACATTAAAATAAAGACAATATTGTGTCTTTTTTACTAAACTCCATTGTGTACTTTCTCCTAAAAGTGTAACTCAGTAATATTATAATATATATTATAATCAATGAAATAAATTATACACAATTTTTAGATGTGCATAAAAATTTTAATATTCAAAACTATATAAATTGCTACTCAATAAACCTATGGAAAGTCATTTCTAAAATGCTTGTTAAAGTGCTTTCCCATGTAAAAGCAAATCTGCACCCAGGGTGACCTGCTCCAGCTTCACTTAGCCTCCACACCTTCCAGAATCTTTAGCAAACCTTCTACTATCAGAATCTCAAGTTCAAGTCCAAAAGCTGCTATGAAAACTGTCCTTGAGTAATTTCAGTGTTATTCAGAGCCCAGAATCAAGGATGACCAGTATGGGCAGGGAAACACTGCAAGGTTAACAGTTGGGTCTGAAGTCAGGTGAGGATGACAGGTGGGAGGGAGGACAGCAGAGCAGGAGATGAGTCATGGCCAAGTGTGAAGATTCAAGATGAACACAAGAACTGAACAGAAATTTTGGCACCCACCTCCAGCTTCAAAAGACAAACATTAAAACTCAGGACTAGCATGGAACTGGGAAAAGGAATTAAAATTCCTGATAGAAGTGACTCATAAAGAACAGGACTGATGTCTGCCACTCTTGATGAGATAATCATTGTATTTCTGGCACATTTGGCACTACCAGAACAGAAGGTGGTGGCAAAGTGGTGAGAAGCAGGCTTTTCCAGTCTCACAATGCTGGGACACAGATAGTGGAAGTCACAACCCACTGAATAGCCAGGGCTTTATGGCAGGAGGGTGGAAGGGGCTACAACTAGGAAGGAGTCTGGACTAGCTGTCAGCCCCATAACAGACTCAGACCCACTGCCTAATCAGCTCTCCCGAGATACAACACACATAAAGCATAAAGTATCTAACTGAAACACACAGGGGCAATAGAAATACATGGTAGATTTTCATTTTTAAAAGTTATTACAAAAAAAGTTATAAAAAAAGTGATTACAGAAAAAGATACACTTGCCAAAATAGGTAGGATAGGTGTATTCAAAGTAAGGAGCATTTGGAGGGTTAATAGTGATGTTTTTGTAATAATAAATGTATAAATATGAATATTCATCATATTTTATCACTATTCATTGTTCAGCCCTTTGCAATAATTTCTGTCAAATAAAAACATTACAGTGTATCCTCCTCCATCTTATTCACTGGATCTGGTAACACACGACTTTTGGCTCTTCCCAAAGCCCAAATGATCACAGAAGGGAAATGTTTTGAATTGATTCAGGATGTCAAAAGAGAACTTCCAGAACAAAAAAATTCTAAAAAAAAAAAAAAAAGGCCGGGGATTTAGCTCAGAGGTTCGGTGACCTGCCTTGCAAGTGCAAGGACCCAAGTTCAATCTCAGGTACAAAAAAAAAAAAAAAAGGCCGGGGATTTAGCTCAGAGGTTCGGTGACCTGCCTTGCAAGTGCAAGGACCCAAGTTCAATCTCAGGTACAAAAAAAAAAAAATCTAAAGGAAGAGAACTTCCAGACCTGCTTCAGGAAATTGTAAGAAGAAAAACATGTATTCAAATAGAGGTAATATTTTGAGAGGGTTAATGACAATGTAATAATTTTTATTTTGTGATAATTTTTACAGTTTTGTGTACCTGTGAAATCAAATGTCAGAGTCAAAATAGAAAACATTTCAGACTCAGTCTGACTCAGGCAACTACTAATCTACTTTCTGTCTTCCCAGCTTAATTTGCATTTTCTTTAATTTTCTGTAATTTGACCTATGTATTGTGTATTATTTTGAGTTTGGCATTTTTCATCCTGTGATTCATTTTGAGATCACATTAGTCTTTTTCTCTGGTCCATTTCCAATATTGTTCTATTATGTTGATAATATATTTCCTTAAAATGGAGCATGATAATGTATCTATTGAATCTGGTGACATGTAGCCTCAGAGTTTCTGAGTTATTGTCTATTCAAATAAGAGAGTAAAAATATTAGGTGTAAATTCTCATCTGAGCAGTTCTCATTGCTGTTGAGCAAACCCTCCAGAGTGGACGGATGGGGCCTGGGCAATAGGTGTCTTCTCTTTGGTACATCACTTTGTGCCCACATGGACTCACCTCAGATGCTGCCGTCCATCCCTTTCCAGAGTAAGGTAGTTTCTTTTTACTGTATCTGCCAAAATCAAGAAGTGAATTATTTATTTCTTAAGGAAAATACCACTAAAGTTTTGAAAAATTATATAAATTGTGATTTTGAAGTGCTTGCTATAGATACAGGAAGAAGAGGCTATAAAGTGATTGCAATAGTGCTCAGCCTACAAAACCAAGATAACGCCTCTGAAAAGCAACTTGCATAAAAACAACCATCACTACAAAATGCCAAATTTTCTCAATTTCAAAAGAACTCAAAATTTCTTTTTTCAAAAGAAACACCAGTAAAAGTCAGAAGGTGAAGATAGCTGGCCATGTACTAAACAATTTTAAACAACTTTGGTGAGTAAATATTTATAAGCTAATAATTTGTCACTTTTATCTCCTCTGGGTTTCCTTAAAGAGACACTGAATACGGTTTCTGTATTTTCACTGACTCAAAGTTTCCCAGGGCAAAATATATTTTCCCTTTGAAGAAGATGTCTGTTGGAAATAACTTCAGATATTTAGTTTAAATTCATTTTAAAAAGATTTTTATAGGGCTGGGAATTTAGCTCAGTGGTTCTGTTACCTGCCTTGCAAGTGCAAAGTCCTGAGTTTCATCCCTGGTACAAAACAAAACAAAACAAAACAAAAACTTAAAAAAAAACCATTCTATTAGTACACATTTGTAATTTATGCAGTTTACAACCACCTTGGGAGTATTCATATGTACATATTACAGCTTTTTTTTTTGTACCAGGGATCATACTCAGGTCCTTGTTCTTGCGAGACAGGGACCAGATCCATTGAGCTAAATCCCCAGCCCTGTTTCTTCTTTCTAAAAAAGTGCTTCCCATTC